CGTTCGAATACATCCAGGGTGGATCGTATTGTGAAGGATGTCTTATCGCCACGGTTAGACGTCATCACCACTTTGAATGGCGACAGACCTTGTCCAAGACTCTGTTCCATACATCGACTTCATGTTCGAGGATCTGCTGATAGTGTTGGGCCTTTAGTCGGTTGATAGGAATCGATGTGTAAAAAATGCGCAAGAATTCGATTAGACAAGGTCCAGGTGCCTAACGACAATAGGAAAGCGGAGATGGACGAACTCTGGCAAAAGCCTGGTACCCAATCTGCCGAGTGACCTTCTCACACTCGTCAGGCCAATAATAAGGGGGAGCGGTCAAGGGGTCAAAAAGTCTCGATACCAATTCGGATGATTTATCTCGTTGCCAGGTTAGAAAGCGGCAAATGAGGTGGTTTTTTCGTTTCTGCATTGCGCGGCACCGCTGCGAATAGATTTCGCCCTTAATGTCGAGCCGGATGGATGAGGAAGGCCTATTGAACCGGTAGTCCATCACGTGGGAACTATTTCGTTCTACAGGGCGTTAATGTGTGTTAGGGGGCGAAGCATTACTTATACTTGCTCACCGACTACTCGGCCGCGTGGACTTTGACTTGATCAACCCACGTTAAGACCCCATCAGCTAGGGGTTGATTTGGTTGTTCAGTTCTGCAGTGGACAATCCCCAACTAGTGCGGCTCTTTAGCAGGCTCGCAGGACCATGTCTTTTGATGGTGATGTGACGAGGACGCTCGTGCCGGCTACGTTCTCCGACTCAAATGCGCCCGTGATGAGCATTGGGTCTTTACCTTTTGGATCGGATAGACCACGGCCGAGTCGGATAGACTTTGGACGGGCGGGCCATCTGCAAAACTCTTGGGCAGTGGGATCGTCTCTGGATCTGCTCCTCCAAGGTCAGTCCTCTCTGAATCGATACGTTGTTATGGGTGCTAATGGTTATTCAATGAAGGCGTCATCCTTGCCCAGACGTATCATTACTTTGTTCATCATTCGGCGACTGACCGAAAACGCCTTCGTGCCCTTGTAATTACTCTGCTCGTTCTGTCTTGGTACGAAACACTTTCCATCTCTATCTATTGAAACTGTTTAATCAAATTCACGTCTAGTCTCAAGTCTGCGTTTGGCTTTGCTGCCGCCTTCAA